AAAAAAAAAAAAAAAAAAAAAAAAAAAAAAAAAAAAAAAAAAAAAAAAAAAAAAAAAAAAAAAAAAGAAAAAAAGAAAAAAAAAAAAAAAAAAAGAAAAAAAAAAAAAAATAAAATAAGATATAAAATAAAATTTATTTTACTTTATATTTTTTTTATCTTTATCTATCTTCTTTAAGAAATTAATTAATCTTTTAAATAATTAATTTATTTTAAAACTTTATAAAGATAGATAAAATTATTAATTTACTATTATAGATAGTTTATTATCTATAAAATAAATAATAATCTATCTATAATATTTATTAATAATTTTATTTAATATCTTTTTAAGATATTAGATTAAGTTATCTATAATAACTTTAATTATTATTAATTATACTAGTAATAACTATAATCTTTATTATAGATATAATATAGATTATATTATTATTAAGAATCTTAAAATTTAAATTTTTATATATAATTAATATTATAAAATAAAAAAGATTATAGAAGAATATAGATTATAAGAGAAGAAAAAGATTATTAAATAATTTAATATAGTTTTCTTTTAAGAAAAAATAAAAAAAAATTTAAAAAAAAAAAATAAAAAAACTAATAGTTTAAATAATAATATTATTTAAACTATTATCGATTTAATAAAGTTTTAAAAAGAGAGAGTAGTAAAAGACTTTACTAATTAATTATAAAGAATCTTCGATTAAAGTAAATCGAAAAAAAAAGAGAAGAAGAAGAAGAAGAAGAAAAAGAGAAAGAAGAGAAGGAGGAAGAAGAAGAAGATAAAGAGAAGGATAAAGATAACGATAAAGATAACGATGATAATAATAATGAAGAAGATCGTGATCGCGGTGAAGGCTCAAGTCGTAATCCTCCTCCTCCTCCTCTCTCTCGCAAGCTCTCCCTTCGTAGATAATTATAATTGTATTTCATTAATGCCTATCTATGTACATGACTATGAAGTGTGAGTATGATCTATGAAAGGTGAGCATGGCATTGCCATGCTCACCATACATTGAATACAAAAATGCCTTTGGCATTTTTGTATTCATTGCGCTTCGCGCATGCTGGCAGTGTCAGTTGACACTGCCAGCACGCCTTTCATGCACCTTCATGCAAGTTTTTCGGCCGCGAGAGCGCGACCCCAATGTCATGCTTACAAACCCGTATCCGTATGTATGTCAATTCTTGCTCTCTTCTTCAAGTGTGTGTGTCATGCGGGCGCCGCGCCGGACATATGGCGCATTTTTCCGTGGACGTGTGTGTGTACAAGTCAAAGGCTTAATGCGTATGCGTATGCGCGGTGTTGTTAGTCATTTGATCCGGAGTTGTATGTCCGGCTTTTAGAGATGATTAGCTTGGGTATGGGAAAATACATTATCATGATGCTCTTTTTACGCGGATAGATGAACAAAGTTTGATCCCGTTACGGAGTAGAATTTCTAACTGAAACATCCTTGATCATTACTCAAACCATGTTCATGCCGCGATCAACATTGTCCAAGCAAACACAATGACCATCAAGACTCTTGGGCAGTGCTCGCCAAGGAGAATGGCTTCGCCAAGTTTTTCGGCGAATTTCATCAACGGTGAAATTATAAAGTGTGGCTTTTTGGATTCGACCATGAATCATCCGAAAGATCACAAGTCACAAATGTCTTTTATTATGTAAGATAAGATTACTATTTTGATATATGTGTGTAAGATACAAATGATTTTTATTGTTTTAAGCAAATTGTCTGGATTTGACAACATGTGTAGAAATACCACTCTTTTCTCCTCCATAACCACCTTGTAAAGAAGATTGTCCACCTTTGTAAACAGGTCCGCGACTTGAAAGTTTCTTTTGTGCTTGTTCGTATCTTTGTCGTTTTTTAACACGTGGATTTCGCGCTGTCTTTGGTCGTCTTTGTGTTAATCCTCGATTCTTTTCGATTTGTCTATTGATCGCTCGATGTTCTCCAGGTTCAAGACCTGCATCATCAGGTACAAATCTTTCAGACGCTCTCTGTTGATCGTAATGCTCTTTTTGTGCTTCTTTGGCAGCTTTGCGTGAACTTGTGATCAAATCATAGTAATCTGCATCGCCTCCACTGCCACTTGCCGAGAATCCTGATCGTCCGCCTGCATTTTCACCAAGATCGCCATCTGCATCCATCACATCACGCCAGTCTCGTGCGTCTGCTTCACCAAAGTCATCAGCATCCAATTGACGACGAGAAGCATCAACACCGTTCACCTTGGCTGCTTTATTGGCATTTGTAGAAGCAACTGCCAATCTACTACGTTCTTTATCACGATAAGGTATATCCACATCTCCGTCCAATTGTCTTGCATTCTTCTTTCTCGAATCCAATGCATCAAGATGACCAGTGTGGAACTTGAGTGATCGCCGTTTGGCATCTTTTTCTGCTTCGTCAACCGTACTCAATGCAGTAGGTTCACTATACTCATCATACGCTGAATTGACTACTCGTCCGGCTTGCTTTCTTCTCTTTGCAGGTGGACCAGCATTGGATATATCTCCTTCTTCGTTCAAAATATCCGCCAAGCCAGCCAAAGGAGCAGGTGGTGGGATGCTAGTCTGTTGCTTCTTTTGCTTTGTCTGCTTTTTCTCTGGCTTCTGTATCCTGTCTTCCACTTTGGCTTTTGCGGCTTCTTGTCCGCTCACATCTGCTGAGCGTTCTTCTGCATCCAATTGCATCAGCTCATCCTCTTCCAATGAGCCCAGAGAGACACTTCCATCGTCTGAATCACCATCTGCTGACATGACTCCGTATGGTTTGAATAAGAATTGAGGCGCTTGATTCTCATCATTTTCTTCCGCATCTTCTTCATCGTCCATTTCGATCGACGCTTCCTCTTCCTCCAAACCTAAACCAAAGTCTTCTAAAGAAGACAAACCTTGCTTTAGCTTGGCCAATCGTTCGATGATCTGTGTCTTTATTGAATTAGACGCATTCGTTGACTTCACCTTTGAGTCATCAGTACGCAAAGCGCTCACGTAGAAGTAGAATGCCAAAGAGGTGATGTAGGAAAGCAAAGTTTGATGATGCAAATGCAATAAGCCTAAACTGGAATGTCCTGGATTTGTATCCTGTAGATTCTTCATTCGATTGGATGCTGTGTGCATATCATCCACCATATCTGCATATTCTCCAATCAAAGCCATCAATTCTGGCTTTTCTCTTTGCACTTTGGCTATAAGTTCGGCAGGATTGATGGGCACAGCTGGTTGTGCTTGTGCAATTTTAGTGACGTCCACATCCAGATCCCGCTTTCTCTGTTCACGAGCCGCTTGACCGGATTCAATATTTGCATTCTGATCACCCAATCCGAAATCATCATCCACCATACCTTGACGAGCACGAGATTGAAGCTTTTTCACTTCACGTACTTCCATTGCACGCATTTCCTCTTCATCCATTTCTGAATCGGATTCCAGATCGTCCAAATCGTTCGTGTTATAGTATGATCTCTTATTGGAACCCCAGCCACCTGTGGGTAGATCCTCTTCTTCCTCTTCCGCTGCGTCATCATCATCACTAGAATCATCTGCTAGAGGTGTTTGTGTTGTAGGCTTCTTTTTGAATTCTTTCTTTCGTCTTTCCTTCGGTGCGATATCAGCGGCTAGAACGTCTTGACCATCTTCATCATCGCTATCTTCCCCTTCATCCACATCCAAAACGCTTCTTGATCCCGTAGCCAAAGCATCAAAAGGATCTTGATTGTTCGTTGCATTTTTTGATTTCCTATCTCTCCCATTCAAAATGATTTCATCTCTTTGATCATTAAAGCTATCAATTTCATCATCCGAAATATCTTCTTCTGTAAACTTTTTACCTTGTTGCATTAACGAGTTTGACGTTCCTTCACCGCTTCCACGACTTCTCCTTCCCTTTCGAACCATGATTGAGCTGGTGTGACTCTAATCCGATGAAGATGGCGTATCAAGATGTATAGAAGCAGTTGATAGCAATGATTATAACAGTAACCCTTGTTTCAGCCCAATAACACTTTATCCTTTCTATGCAATCACCTTTCTCTTTTTGACCGCTTTGACGCCACAAATTTTTATATTAAAAAGGCCTTTTCTCTCTCTTTTGGTTGCAGATCCACTTTTCCATGATTGTTTTGCCGTTTTATTAGTGAGAAAAAACCCTGGGTAACAAAAAATTGCAATCGACACTTTTTTATAAACACGTGTTCAAAAGGGTTTCGGGAGCGCATCGTCACTTATACTCAACGCGGCTGTTGGATGAATTGCATGGAGGAGATGGTGTGGAGATTGCAGACCATCATCTCGAGCAAACAAACCATGTCGACGATAGAAGAAACTCAAATGCAAACAACGGATGCAACAGATTATCAACGTGATGAATTGCATACCGCCTTGCATGAAAGATTAGTACAAACGGGTGAATGGCATAGGATAATGGCTTCCTTGAGAGCATCTTTGGATGAATCTGGCTGGTCAGCATCTTTACGTGAACAGGCACAATGTAAGTGGGTTGCGAGACTTTGTTTCAGGGTATAACATTCAACTGATGATGACTTTGTCTCACACTTATAGCACAAGCAGCACAGCAGCAGAATCTAAGCTTACCCGATCTTATCGAAGAACTAACACCATTTGCAGAGAGTGAGTAGTCTAATGCATATTCATCACTCATTAGCCACCTTTCTGATTCAACTTGACCCTCCCTCAGAAACCATCCCTCTTCAAGTCAGAGAACAAATCACAGCCGTTCTACATGATTTCGTCGCTCGCAATGTAGAAGATGCATAACTAGCCAAATCTTCTCTCTACTAATCGCTGTATTTGTATCGGACTGATATAGTATATAAAAGCATACATTGAAACATACATTGGACTGAAAGTTAAAAGGAAGTACAAAGATCCAACCAAACATCCACACTCATCTCTTGACCCAAGTGTATGCTTTGCGTGATTTGGCTTTACCGGTCTTCTTACGTTCTACCATACGGGAATCACGATGCAAAACCCCTGTTCGTGAAAGAAGTGCACGGAAATTCGAAGCTTGTTCTCTTAATGGTTGAGCTGTTGGACTGCTTATACCATCTTTGTCTTCTACCTTTCTGGCTTTTTCATCAAAGAATGAAACTAAACTTCTTGCTAATCCATGTGCAACTGCTCCCGTTTGTCCAGTCGTACCACCACCTCGAACGAGTGCAAAAACGTTAAATGCACCTGCCATTCCTAACAATCGAAGTGGAAATAGGATTGCTTCCCGATCAGATGCTCGAGTGAAATACTCCGAAATTGGCTGTGCATTAATCAAAACAGACGTAGACATCGTCGATCCGACCGAAGCTTCACTTTCATCACCTGCACTTTGACTAGGCACGATCCAAACTCTTGCTGCACTTTCTTTTCTTCTTCCACGAGCATATGCTCTTCCCAAATCATCTACACCTGAACTTGATGACAAAAAGCTTGCATGATGTGGTAATTGGTTGAGGTTACCGGTATTTCCTTGCATTCGATTGAAGTTCTGTAGTGTATTTTCAACTTCTTGTGCCAGTACTTTGTGTTGTTCACCACATCTTCCGTTCGCCAAATATTCTTGCACAAAATATCTATAACGTGCTAAAGCAGAAAGTCTTGCGATTATATGACGATATTGACCGGATTTAAATGGAATCGAAAGCTTTTCACTTAATTCTTCAATCTTTGGCCATGCTAACGAACGACGAGCAGCATTTACACCTTGTGCTGTTGCCTGTAGGTTAATCGGAACTGCATTTTGTTCCAATACACGTTTTGTCCTTCGAGTTAGATCTTCCAATAAGATCATCGAATCTATAAGCGTTGGTTTGGCAGTATAAAATGATGGTGATGCTGGTTTCATTCGTGTTGGAAGTGCAACCGGTCTTGATCCAGGCACGAATCTTGGTGCTAAAGATGAAGATGTGGTTGCAGATCTAGTCTCTAAAGCCGAAGAAGAAGAAGAGGTGGAAAAGCTTACATTTGCATTACCCTTTTGCAGCCGTTGTGATGTTATCCTCAGCGTGCTCCCTATCCGTGGGGCTGCTGTTCGTGAGAGAGCCATTTTCGATGACTGTTGTCGATCGTGGTACTAAGGTGTGTCTCTCGGGAGGAAGAAGAAGAAGAAGAGTAGCATAAAAATCCATTTCACTCTACGCTTGTGTCTGCTTAATCGTAGCGCGTCAGGTGATTAAAGCGTATGCATAAGCGGTAATCGGAATTGAATTTTTCGAGAGAAGCCAATTTTTAGAATCAAAGTAGAATCAGATGGAGGTCATCCTCAACAACATAAGAGACAGCATTGACTTCGAGAGCAAATGTATGCCTTACGTCAAGCTGGAGGGTCGTTGAGGGCTCAATCAAGGGTACCCAGTACTAAACGAAATGGCATTTTGATAGGGCAGCGGCAATTCGGTATAAACCAGGTACTACGGAATGATGGCGAATCGAGTAGGGATGCTTCTGGCGAAAATGCATCAGCAGAAAATACAAGACCAGATGTAGAAGCACAACAGATAGATAGCCATAACGAGCAAAGCGAAAGTGCGTATATCACTTATCAAGACAATGGATCAAGCGAAACTCGATCGACCGAATCCGATGCAGATCAGGACGCAAATCCAACAAACTACCTAGACAACTTCCTTAAAGAGCAAGGCGCATTTTTTAGAGATGAAGGCGCTACACAAACAGATCATACTTACGTATCAAATCGAAATCTGGAAGATCAATTAAATAAAGGATGGGGAGATACGCCTGTACCACAACAACAACAACAACCTCGTGGATCGGAAAAGAGATTGATTGAACGTGCTTTACAAAGAAGTTTAAGCGATAGACACAAAAGAGGAGCTGATCCGCATAAAGGACCATTGCATCTTTCTGAACGAAAAATGTTCGCAGATATATTTGATAAAATTGGCATTGATGATGATACGAGATCGACAGGATCTGAACAGGACAAAGAATCCGTTTTTGGTCATTTTCGTGCGAATACGAATGAACAAAAATTGGAGAATTTCCGAAGAAGCAACTTACTCCAACCAAAAAGTTTTCAAACTTTACCCTTTAGAAGGGATGAAGGTAGATTGAGCGATTTTCGGAGTAACGTTCGTGCACGATCACCTTCTCGAGTAGACAAAGTTGGACTGGTAAAAGAATTGATCGCTGGTGGTGATAGGGATGAACAGCAAATCATTCAAGACTTCGATAAAGCAAAGACGGAAATCAATGCATGTCAATCTCCTTTTGAGATTTGGAATTGGGCACGAGAGAATGTGTGGGGACAAGCAAGAAAAGGCATATTCGATAAAGAAGATGTAGCTGACAAATCAGAAGATGAAGCAACATCCTCCGATGCTCGATCTGCTCTCAAAGACTCTATAATGCCTTCATCCGAACCGAGATTTGGTGTCCATACACCATTCTATGCGCCAGTCTTGAGACAACTTATGATCGAGCTACGACAAAGATTCCGATCACCACAATCAGCACTAAACATTCTACGTATGATCAAGAATGCAGGAATGGAATCTGTCGTTTTGGGATGCACACCTGCCCTTTACGCTGAAGCAATCAAAACGAGTTGGTTTGCATTTGGTGATTTAGCCGATGTTCTTCGATTGGTGGAAGAAGCTAAAGCAACGGGAGCATTATCCCATTCAGCTTCAGCAAGCCGAACACCCAAACAAAAAGATAGAACGGAAGGCTGGCCAGAAGAAATGTTGGATAATTTACATAATGATTCAGTCATTCGTTCTTTGCTTTCAAATATTCATACTGATGCCTACAAGACTACATGGAGTGCATTAGCGAAGATTAATGCTTTACAACGATCTCAAGGTACGGTTAAAGGACCAAAGTCAGAATGGCAAGAGACTGTGGATATACCTATATTGTTGCAAGAAAGATTTTCACTCTTGTCTAAGCTGGAAGAGACGGTTAAGTATGGACCTCGCAGACAAAGGAGAGGAAAGCAAACCAACACGAGTGATTAATCGTTGCCATCGTCTGTATAATAGCCAGTAATAATATTAGCATTTATGATTATGTAATTGACCGTCTTGGCATTAAGCGGCATCTGATATACAGTAGAAAGTTGGGGCGTTTGCATAAATTTGACGGAAGAGCCGCTTTGAGTCTGGGCCGAATTAAGGTGGGCGCGCATTGCATTGAGATTTTTTCACGTTCGCACCTTCCAATGGAACAAGTGCCCTGCCAAGTTGGTTTTAGTCAAAAGTTTAAAAGCGCGAATCATTTGAGCGCGGTTAGGCGTTGAAGCGGTATGTGCCTGAGACTGATCTTGCGCCGGATGCTTGCTTAAGTTATAGTTGTTGACTGGTTTTAGAACACAGGGCTGAAGACACGAGAAGGCTTGCCACTAGCTGTCAATCAGTGCTCGCAAAACTTCCCTCTTTTTTGTGAAACGTGTGCATGTGAACCGAATGCCGCCTTATGCCCTGACAGAAAAGTTGAGAAGATCCAAACGAATTTATGCGTTTGTGGTACATACACCATCCAATCATTAGTTAGCGAACTCATCCATCGCCGCTCACTCGCCGAGTTTGTTGTATAATGCATATGTGTGGCATTTCAAGGCTCATTCGCCCTTTTTTGATTGTATAGGCCCCCACTTTTTACTCAAATCAAACCCATTCAGCCTTAATAAGTTCGAGCTTTAGTTGTGTCATTTTAACCGTGCGTATGTATGCAGAAATTGAACCTCCTTTCAAGCCAACACGCCAGTCACAAATTAAAAAATAAGAAATAAAGATTTTTGACACTCGTTCACCCACAGCACCATTTTTAGTGATCATTTTTTTGTTTTTGCCTTGGCCAAATCTTCCTTCCAGCGTTTCACATTTCGGCCATTTGTACGCCACTTTGGACTGTGTTTTTTTCTTATACCCGCTTTTGACTTTCAAACAAAACTTCTTCCTTTCCCCACACCTCCCTCCGTCATCACCACCACATACTACACTTCGCCAACATGTCAACCACAGCCGCAAACCCGGCTTTAACCACTGCTTCACAACGTCAAACTGGCAAGTCAGTTGCAAAGCAAGTCGAACAAAAAGCCGGAAACGAAGAATCTCAACGTTATTCTCATCGTCAACCAAAATCATATCGCAAAGATGATTTGAAACATTTCAACGTTCCAGAACTGACAATTAAGGACTTGTTGTCTTCCATTCCTTCTCATTGCTTTGAACGTTCAGCAATCCGTTCGGGTTCTTATGTCTTGGCCGATTTCATCATGATTGCCGCTTTGGGGTACGCTGCTTCATTCATCGACCCAAGTTTGAAAGCTGTCAACTTTGATCAATCTCCTTTGACACCTTTCATCTCCGCTGCTTGGCAACATTCTATCGCTCGTTTCAGCCTTTGGTTCGCATACACTGTCGTTCAAGGTTTGGTATTCACCGGTGTTTGGGTTATCGCTCACGAATGCGGTCATCAAGCTTTCAGTGCTTCAAAGACGATCAACAACACTGTCGGTTGGGTCTTGCATTCAGCTCTTTTGGTTCCTTATCATTCTTGGCGTATCTCTCACGCTCGTCATCATGCCGCAACAGGTCATATGACCCGTGATGAAGTTTTCGTTCCACGTACTCGTCAACAAAAAGGTCTTTTGCCTTTGCGTCCTGCAGCCGATGGCACTTCAACACCCGCTTCTGATGCAGAAGATGATGCAAACGTTGAACGTCAATTATCCTTACAAGAACAAAAAGCAGCTGCTGATCAACAAGAAGAAACATGGGGTGAATGGTTACAAGAAACACTGGAAGATGCACCTTTGTACAACTTTATCTTTATTCTTGTTCAACAAACAATGGGCTGGCCCTTGTATTTGCTTTTGAACAGTTCCGGTCAATTGCACTACCCAAAGAACACAAACCACTTTGACCCTAACTCAATCATCTTTGATGCCCGTCACAGATCGCAAGTTTTGATGTCAGATTTGGGTATCGCAATCACTTTGACTTCCCTTGCTACTTGGGCACACTACGCCGCAGGTGGTTGGGCAGACGTTGCAAAGTACTACATCGTTCCTTATTTGTGGTGCAACCATTGGTTGGTGATGATCACTTACCTTCAACACACTGATCCAGTCGTTCCTCATTACAAGCCTGAAACATGGAACTTTGTTCGTGGTGCTTTGTGCACTGTTGATCGTAAATGGTTAGGACCCGTTGGACCTTTCTTCTTGCATGGAATTGCCGAAACTCACGTCTTACATCACGTTTCCAGCAAGATCCCACATTACAATGCTTGGGAAGCAAGTGAAGCATTGAAGAAGCGATTGGGAGAACATTATCAATGTTCAAACGAGAACGTTTTTGTTAGTTTATGGAAATCAATCAGAACGTGCAAATTCGTTGATGAAAACGATCAAGTTGCTTTCTTCCGTGATGCAAATGGTGTTCCTTCTGCTTGTGTTGCACCTAATTCGGCTTATAATTCCGATTCAGGTGTAACTCTTTCCGAGTAAAGCAGCAAGCAGAACAATGATATGCTTGCTTCTTTCCCACATTTTTGTCTCTCTCTTCAGGGCTTTTACCTAGACATACAAAACTTTCACGCACAAAACAACACATCTCCTCCTTTCTCCATAGAAATAATGTTGACGTCTAGATAGATAAAATGAACATTTTGTTATCTATAATGATCATAATTGAGGTGTGTTCCTTTCGTTTCATGAGACTGACTGAAGGTTGAGTGGCTGAAAGAGCAGGAGTCTTTTGTTCAGTAGAAGGAGGCGCGTGGGGCAACCATGACTATATTCTATGAGTAGCGGGGTTGACTAGACGTTATTTATCCGATCGACTCCACTCCGAACATCTTCTTCTTCCAGATAGTAGAAAAGGTAGAAAGTTGCGAGGAGATTCTATCAAGATATTGTAACAGACAAAAGACAGCATCGATAACGACGGCTGTGTTCATACGATACGGATCTGCGAAATGCTTTGAGGAGAGGACTTTAAAGATCAATCATTCTACTTTACCATGTCAAAAGTAGAGAAAGACGATGGCGTCACAGCAAAGAAGCGTATCAACGCACAAGGACTGCCATGGTGGCTATGGATACTGAAACATGTGAGTGAAGGGCTGTACTGTACACAAGAATCGAAAGTATGCTGATGCTCTCTTCCCCCTCCAAAGAGTCAAGCAATCGTAACGGCGGGAATGACAGTCGGCGTGATTTATTACCACAACACACAAGGAATCTATCTCACTATAACCGCATTGGCAACAAGTTTTATGGCAAAAGGAATGAAAAAGATTATCAATCAACCTAGACCGGATGGATCGATTGTCAAAACACCCGGAATGCCTTCTACACATAGCGCGTGAGTGTAATGCGGGATTATGAGTAGCTATGATGGCATGACACTTATCTTTACTAATTCTCTCATTGACAGCACCGGCACATTCATCGCCCTTTATCTGGCCATCCTTCTGGCACGTACTCAACCTTCTTCGGTCGATCCCACATGGCTGGTACCTTTGAAGCCGGTCTTGGTACCCTCTTTGATCACCTTTCCCGCTCTTATGATATACTCAAGAGTACGTTTAGGTGTTCATACATTAGAACAATGCGTTGCAGGAGCCGCTTTAGGTATTTCCACAACGATACTCTTTTACACCGTATGGGCAGGTTATCCAAACGCACAAAGTCAAGGGTTTGGACATAGTGTCGTAAAAGGATTAGCGGGAACGCAATCGGTAAGAGAGTTGGATGTTTGGTTGCACGAAACAGTCGTAAAGGTGATTAGGATCATTATACCCAATCTTTAGATGTTCATTATCTGCTTTCGCATGGATTGTGCCTTATTATAGTATTATATCATTGCTGCTAGTGAAACTGGTCGTAAACTGTGAAAAGATGAAAGTTTATTCGCGATCGATCTGTCTCCATCCTTTTACCTGGGTGATGTGAGAATAGGTGTAATGGTCAGCATCTTGCAAAAGAATGACCCTTCTAAACCATTGACTCACCTTTGCATCTTTTAGCAACTCTAGATAATGTTGTACCAAATCATGACAAGCTTCATAATGATTCACACCTTCTGCCCGATGACACTTTGTGAGCTCTTCACGAACTAAACGTGCTTCATATACTTTGATCCATTGTTCGCGAATTTGATGATCGCGATCCTTTAGGGTAGCTGATAGGACAAAGTAGAAGTGTGTCAGTTCAATCTCGGTTCACATTCGCCCAGTTCTATGCTTACCTTGTAGCTCTTCTGTACTGGGTAGCTTGCTCATCTTGTGTGTATGTGTGTGTGTCGAATACCCTGACCAGCCGATGTGATCCACAAGCTGCTAGAGATGACGATGAACTACTTACTGTATACGACCAATCAACTGCATTCATTCCGAATGTGTGTATTCTATGTTGCCTCTTTACGCCTATGCGTGTACTTTGGCTGAATAGCACAAGCCAGGCTCACATTCAAGCGTGTCCGGTTTGACAACAGAAACACGTGTAATTGAAGATGGGATGATTGCTTATATAATTTATACTCTTAATTTTTCCAAATCGGTTTGCGCGCAGAGGGAAGAATTTCACCGCAGCTTTAGACAATTAAGGCGGTAGAGCATTGTGCGTGTGCGTGTACGCCTGCTTGTAAGCGGGATTGCATGTATGTTGTAGCTGTGAATTAGATCCAATACACAATCCTTGGTCAAACATTCCTTTACCACCATCCATCCTTTCTTGCGGTCAACTCACAAAATTTCGACAAAGATGGCAAAAGTTAAGGCTTACGAACTACAAGGCAAGTCCAAAGCCGATTTGACCAAACAATTGGACGAACTCAAAAAGGAACTTTTGCAATTGCGTGTTCAAAAAGTTGCAGGTGCTTCTAGCAAGCTCACCCGTATGTGAGTATCGAATTGTTGGCGTCATGAGAAGGGAGAGAAGGGTGTGCTGGGTGGGAAAGCTGATGTGGGAATGGCTGTATTGCAATGATGGAAACTTGCCTGGATGAAAGCAGCTAGGCTAGATTATTTGCACCCAAAAGATCTACTCGATTCACATCCCGGAATGAAATACTGACCCTTTCTTAACCCTCTCACAGCAATGGTGTCCGTAAGAGCATCGCCCGTGTTTTGACAGTCATCAACCAAAAGCAACGCAGCAACTTGCGTGAATTCTACAAGAACAAGAAATACTTGCCTCTTGATTTGCGTGCCAAGAAGACCCGTGCTCTACGTCAAGCATTGTCAAAGGAAGACCGCAAGCGTGTTACCGAACGTCAACACAAGAAGGATGTTCACTTCAACCGTCGCAAGTACGTCTTGAAGGCTTAAGAGAAAGTGGTAGCAGCAGCGACACAAAACACTTTTGATTCTTCCTCTTTTTTTGATGCGTTCAAAATCCATACTTGTATAACACGACATTCAAAAAATCTATGGTTCTCCATCCTATGCGAAATGGTTCTGTGTGGCGATTGTTTCGACTGGGCTTGACTACATAGAGAATCTTGATTGATTCTATAGAATCGTCATTCACCATTCACGACCTTTCACTTTATTCCCTCTGCACACATCCTTACGCACACTTACACACTTGTATACACCTGAAAAGGCAAGCATGACATATATTCGGCTATAACAGAATTCTGATGAGTACATGCAACCGCTAAGAATTGCCAGAATAGATGATGAAGAGAGGCTCTCCATCTGCTTATCATGCCGAGGAGAAGCTCTGATAGAAAGACAGTCTGAACGCTTTTTGGAGCAAGGATAGCACGTGCTCGTTGCCCAACTCACTCGCGCAAGAGCAATGAAAATGACCGGCTAGATCCGTTTGATTGATTTCCTAACGCCAGGCAGTAGACAGAGTGAGTTGTAGCTGGCGGTTGCGCACGCACGCGTAGAAATCCCATCAGCCAAATCTTCCTTTTGCCTTGCGCTGATTCAGTGCGTGCGTTTTGGGCGTCTTTAAAGTACGGCTTGTGGATTGACTGACTGTGTATGCGTGTTCCAGCTTAAACACCTTTATCACTTCTTACGATCATCATTCCCGGAACGGCATAGATCTTGGTAAGTATCAGATAGACAAAGGCCAATCGAAAGATACAGACAGACACAAAGGACTCAGCTTGGACGACCTGTACAGTAGACGATAGGGGTCAAATTGTGGGACTTTCAATCGAATTTTCAATTTGCACATCAAACGTTCGATTGTCTCGATTGCGCCTTTCTTGTTCCGACTACCACAACCATTCAAACGGCCCAAGCTTACACGCCCTTTTGTTCTTTTTTCACCCCCTTTGTAGCAACGAAAATGCTATCGAGAAATTTCATCTTGGCAGGTCAACGTGCCGCTGCCTCAAGTGCAAGACGTCCAGCTTCAACAATGGGAGCCGTTCGTCATTCTTCCAACTTACCTCTTCCTCCAAAGATTGCAACACCAAAATCCGTTCAAGGTCCAGCAGGAGGTGATTCTACACGTATGGAATCCGTTGTGGAATTCTACAAAAGTTTGCCAAAAGGTGAAGCAAATGCTAAGCGTGGAGGTGGTATCAAAGGACGGTGAGTACAATCCATAAATGAATGCAGCTAAGAACAGCCACACTGACATATTTTGTTCCTTATTGCTCAGCTTCTTTGATGGAAAGAATGCATCGGGTAAACCAATCGTTTGGACTATCGGTACCCTTTTGTTGTTGGGTTACTCGCTTGAATACCAACACTTGAAGCACCACAAGAACTACGAACATTGATTGTAGAATGGGAGTTCGACCCAAAGGTCAAATATTATACATATATAACATAATCAGTGAATATGTGATTAGAAATTCAATTTGATCTGATTGAAAAGTGTCCCTAGGAAGAACCTCGACGGATAAAGATTTGATGAAAGGGAAACTGTCAGGACGCTAATGCTCTTGCGCGCCACAAGAATCCCTTTGTCCTTTTGTTGTGATTGAGGGCGTAAAGAAATAATGTATTATACATATCCGATACGATTGTTCTTCCCTTTATCTTAAAGTTTGCTTCTTTGTTTCCCGATTTGAAGCAATTACCCCTGCATATACATAAGCAAGTATACATATATAGGCTTCTCTTCTTTTGTTTTGATTGAGGAACAAAAGGATACATTCATGTACACTTGCGTCACTCACGGTCACATTATCGTGCCGCACTATACATTCAGCCCAGATCAATGGTTACATCCCTTTCTTCAAATCAACCACCATCGTTTGTTATTTTGTCATTATCACTTCTTTCAAATCGGCGTAGATTTTGTTTGTGGCTGCATTTTTGTGGCGGTCAAAGCTGCTAAAAGAAGCACTATAAGAATTGCATCTATGCAGCAAATACGGCATACAACAAACAAAGAAGTTACTTCACCTTGGCAAAGGATGTAGAGCATTCTTTAGCAACTCTACATGAACGCAGCGATCGTACAGACAAGTGAACTTCTTGCACGCAAAAGGAATTTGCAAATCCAACTCGTGGCCAATCCTCTTAGAAGGCATCTTGCATCAAGACCACAAGGTATTGAAAAGACAAAAATCTTGATTGTCTTGATCAATTTCGGCTTTTTCGCTCATAAAGCCAACAATCTTGGGAAACACAAAAGAACATACGCCAATGCAAGCCACACCGCTTTGATCGTTTAAACACTTTTGTGGTTGGCGTAATTTTCATTTTCTTTCAATTTTCTAACTGCTTTTTTTACCGTTCTCAAAGAGAAGAAGAAGAAACAAGGGGCCCAAACACAAAGCGGGGCTCAAAGAACAAACATCACAAGGTCGAAAGGCATAGCGGCCAATTTGTACCTAAAAAAGATTGCCGGATTTATTGACCGAGTGCATTTGTGCCTTGACTAAAAAGAACAATGATTAACCGTTTGATGGACGAAGACGATATTCAAAATGACGGCAATCTTAAAAAGCGGTTGGACGTTGATCAAAATTTGGTTTGCCACCCCATTTCTCATCGCAATAATCGTGCGACAAAATACCCTTTCCCACATCTTGATCTCACGCCGCGGATATCCGCTTTTGAGAACAACAACATACATTCCCGCTCGTTGCCACAAACATATAAAAGACGTAAACCATCGATTGGTTCAATTTCCCATCTTCTCAAGAAACAGCTCTTCAACATCCACATCACATCCCACGCATACATCCTCCTTATCATCATGTTGTTCTTCTTTTCCACTTTGGTCCGATGCATTTTGGCAGCATATATCCTGCAACCAGCCATGTGTGCGCCTCTATGGCTACCGCATTGGAGGCCATGGTTCGCAAGGGATGATTCCTTAACAATGTCAACACCAATGGGAACGGTAACAGGTGCAAATGTAGGATCGAATGTGGTAAGGTATACACTTCCATTCGCACAACCACCTTTGGGCGATTTACGTTTTGCAAATCCACAACCAATTCAAAACTTTTCCGGATATAATGCTTCTCAATTACCTCTTGCTTGTTATCAAGGTAATGGTGGTAGAGGTGGAAATGGACCAAGTGAAAATTGTTTATATTCAACTTATTATATTCCTGCTCATCAACAAGGTGCAAAATTACCTTTTATGGTTTGGTATCACGGTGGAAGTGGAATTGTTGGTAGTGCTACACAAGATGGTTTAGATGCAGCTTCATGGGCATCAAAGCAAAACGTAATCGTTGTAGTTCCACAATACCGTTTAGGTTTATTTGGTTGGCTATCTACGAATGATACTTTGGATGAAGAACAAGGTGGTGCACCTGGAGCGGCAAAAGTTGCAGGCAATCAAGCCATTCGAGATGTGCTTGCTGCATTACAACAAATTCCAACTTTGGCAGATTCAATGGGTGGTGATGCATCAAGAGTTACAATCATGGGACAAAGTTCAGGTGCAACAATGATGCGTGCTTTACTCACAACACCATCTGCACAAACATTATTCAACAATGCCATCTTAGTCAGTGATCCGATGGATTACGGTCTCTCAAGCCAAGCAGATAACAACTTTTTGGGAAATATGGCAATGCAAGCATTGAATTGCTCAGATGTCGCTTGTGCTCGTGCTCAATCAGCTGATGCCGTTTTGAATGCTACCTTTGTCGCTTACACAGATGGTCCACAACAAGATGAAAGAATTTCAGGTGGAACGCCTTGGCGTGGTATGGTTGGTGATTTGATCACTTCTTCCATTGCCACTACGACGCATCTTTCAAAAGATGTGATCATGACAACTGTTCAAAACGAATTAGGTCCAACGACTGGATACTACTTCAATTATCAACCTGCAGGCGCAACTACTTTGGACTTTGAAGGAACTCCAGACACTTTAGGACAAGCAGAAAATATTGTCTTTAATCAAAATCGAGGAATCGTAGCGGCCAATCAAACTATCTATCAAGTCACCGAGACAGAACCTGACGGTATTCGAATCATGTTTGAAGAAATCGGTACGGATGGCGTTTGGAGATGTGCAGTTCAAAGAAATGCATACACACTTGCAGGTGCAGGATCAAAAGTTTACCTGGCAGAATGGGAAATTGGAAAAACATATATTTCCAACATCAATAATGAATACTGCACAACCGATAATCGAGTTTGTCATGAAGATGATATTGAATTAATCTTTGGTACGGCTGCAAATCCAACAGCAGAACAAACAAAAGCTTCTGATAATATGCAAACACGTTATTCAAACTTTGCAAAATCTGGTATTCCAAATGCACCAAATGCGCCTGCTTGGCAACCGGTCGTTTCTGCCACTGAATTAAACATGATTCTCGTCAATCCATCTGGAGTGACTTCAATCAATCAAACACAGCATGCACCTGCTTGTGCTGGAAGTGTTTGGGGAAACGTAGTCAAATTTGATTATCAATTGTATACCGTTTGAAAAAGGGGATGGTGGTAGGGAATTGCACTTTAACGAAAAAGATACTCTAATGTAAATATATATATTATTCATTGCTACGAATCATTAATGGAACCTCTTGTTTATCAAATGAATGCTGATTAGTGGCTGAGATTCGGGAAGGAGAGATTGTGCCTGCCGCCGCCTCCGCTTGTGTTATTTAACTCGGTAATTCATTCAGGCGATTTAACCGGGCAAATATCCCGCGTCCCTGACTGCATAAAGACTGTGTTTCCGCTTTTAGTACTTTTTAAGCTTTCAACAAACAAACACCTTTTCTGCTTCTGATCACCATCACCACTCAAAATGGTCAACGTTCGCAAAGATGTCGCTTCAACAGTTGATGAAGATAAATTCAATCCGGAAGTATATGAACAAGGATCAAATATAGGACCAGATATCGCAGAAGCATTAGAATGTGAACATTTAGATGCCGACTTATACAGAAGTTCTAAACCACTTTGGAGACCTTATAGTGCTCGTGGTGTATTTGGGGGACAAGTGATCGGTCAAGCTGTTGCCGTTTCAAACGCATCTGTTCAATCAGACGTTTATCTTTTGCATTCGCTGCATTCTTACTTTCTCTTGGCAGGAGATGAAACAAGACCGATCTATTATCACGTTAGCAGGTTACGTGATGGAGGATCGTATATGACAAGATTGGTTGAAGCAAAACAAAGAGGTCGTTGTATTTTCGTGTTGTTTTCATCTTATGCAAAACCAGAACATAATCGACCAAAATTCGCAATCGCACTACCAAGATCGATCAGTAATGATCATTCACCGTCTGAAGAGGTTTTTGAAGAAGCAACGGTTGCCATTACAGGATCAAAAACAATCACGCATAAATCTCGATTTAGTCAAGAACGTGTTGAAGAAGGATCACAACCAAAAGGATTGTTGACGTATGAAGAGGCACCTTTGAACGAAACAAGATATTTAAGAGTTTTGAAAGATTTAGATAAATTTTTACCACAAAAAGTTAAAGATACTTTACATGCATGGATCAAAGATCGTCAAGAGAGCGCAGTTGAAATTCGAGATGCTTTGCCAAATATGTACGATGAGAATGGCGTGCCAACGCAAGGATATGAACAAGCATTTTGGATGCGAGTCAAATCGCCAATCAAAGGAGGAGATGCAGGACATAAAGCTGCATTAGCATATGCCAGTGATATAAATCTGCTTGCAACAGTTGTAAAGGCTCTCGGGACAACGAGAAGGATGAAAATGATGGCAAGTTTGGATCATTCGATGCATTTTTATGAACCTTTTGATTTTACACAACCGATCTTATTCTTTATGCAATGTCAAGTTGCTTCAAGTGGTCGTGGTTTGGTGATCGGAAGATTTTATTCACAATCCGGTACTTTGATCGGTACGGCCTCTCAAGAAGGTTTGGTGAGACCGCGTGAGGATAATGCAGATATCATTGCAAGAGCAACTTCTGGTAAACTTTAATCAAGACTTTTGTGTGTGTTTCGTTTTCATGTAGAAGTATTTGCTCGTTTTTAATCGGGATTATCATCAATAATTTAATCTTCCTAATATGTCTGTCTAGAATCATCTCCTTAGTTCTCGTCTATGAAATGCATGAAAACATTATAACGCTTCTATAGTACATGCAAATTGCAAAAAAGAAAAACAATTGACTAAATGTGAGAGTGAAGAGAGAGGAATCTTTGAAATCCTACTATTTCGGTTCTGCTTCTTCATTTCCATCTGCTGTACCTCCAAGGTGACGATCACTGCGGACTCTCTTCAAAGCACGTCCTCCATCTTCAAGTTCATCAGGCACAACTGCTTCCTCGCTCGTTGAAGTAATTTTTGCATCAGGTGCAGTCGTTGTCGTTGAAGAAAATGCTTTTGCTCCTCCAGCAATCGATCCAGGCTCCAAAGGTGTAAGCTGGCCATGTCTCTCTCCGATTTGATCTACTTCATCTACCGGCCCTACAGGTACGCCCAGAGGCTCAGACGTTGCTGCTGAAGATGTAGATGCACCCGCACTTAATTCACCAGCTCGTCCAACATCTGACACTTCCTGAGACGGTGCGTTTGGCTGTGCTGGCGTGGCCTTCTGTGCCACTTCAACGCTCGTATTAGACTCAGAAGAAGTATTTGAAAGATCTTGTACTTGATGTTGTGCATCCAATTCTTCCGCTTCTGAAATCTCATTTGCGCCGTCCACCACACTCCTATTGGATCCAACACCTTTGCCTGACCTTCTTGCTTGATCAGCAGCCTCTTCCGTCGTCCTGTCTGCGCCTGCTAATTCCATCGTAGGCACATCTCGATCCACCATTGCGACATCCGTTCCTTCTTCTGAGCTGTGATGTCCTTCTTCACTTTGCCTTGGTCCTGCGCCTGGCATACCTTCATCTCCTGATTTCATCAAAAATGGTATAGGGCTGAAAAGTGGTGTGGTGATTGGACTGTTAGGAACAGGGGTTGCCTTTCTGCTTCTGGGTGTGACACCGCTAACTCCATTGGTTGCTTCTGTTCCGATTTCATGAGCTGATAGTTCATCCGATAACGCATCTTCCTCTTCCTCTCCTGCACGGGCAGGGAATGCATCCCGAGTTGCAGTAACGGCTAAAACTCTTTTCAAAGCAGAGATGTATTTTGGTAGCGTATGATGATATTGTGTCGGATTAATAACCAATTCTGCTAAACGTTGAATCGTAAAAGGAGGTTGATTTTCAAAATCGTCCAACATACCAAAGATTGCCGCTTGTTCACGATCCAGTTCATCTTGCGTATCTATTCGTTTACCCCAACTTCCTTTCCATTCTGCAGGCGCTTGTCTCTTACTCGGAAAGAAGGCTTGCATATCTGCTTCTTTTACAGAGATATCTTGATCCAATCCGTTTGCTTCCATTCCATCATCATTCACTCCATTTCCTGCATCACCATGCATGAATCGATTGTTCAATGCTGCTGAATATGATGCTTGTGCGTTTCTATGATTGGATGGCGATGAAGGTAGATGATTTCCATTACTTTTACCATTTCCGTTTGATAGACTGTTAAAAGAAGATGAGGTTGAAGAAGAGATGTCATCGATATTGGATGAATTCAAGGGTATCAAAGTTGCTGCAGGATGTAAGATTGGACTTGAAGATGAAGGCCATTTTTGAAATGTTTCTCTGAGTAAAGATTTAATCTCTGCTTTTAATGGAGGCCAAGAATGATCTTCACTCCATTCATCTTTATCGGCTAATTCGAACAGTTGATCGGTATATCGCACTTGCCGTCCTGATGAAGAGGATTCATCTTTTATGAGACTGGCAGTCATTCTTGCGAATGCAGAGAAAGAAACGTAAGGATTGCCTTGCGTACAAGGATGGATGTGTTAATTAAGATGGTGACAATGAATGCAAGACGCGGGTTCACCGCGTTAATAATTTTCCATAAAAATTTCCAAACTTTTTCCCTTGAGGCACTTTATCCCTGTCATACAATATCACATCCTTAATAGCTCTTCGTGCATAATCAAAATTAAAGACGCTTGAAGATCTTCCAAAAAGCTTGACAGGCACTAGCATCCATATCGGGAAAAGGAAGTACATAGCATCTTTACGCTCAGCCACTCTCTCTCTTCAATCCAATCTCTTGATGCATTCGTAGGATGAACGATGAGACGGGAAAGGATGATAATAGAGCAGCATCATCATCGGCAGGTCCGATGTTGTTCAAAAAGCGGAATAAAGTACGAGGAACGTTGACATCCACATCTTCTAGTGCTGGTCAAAGTCGCAAGCCAATTTCACAGGATGATAAGGAGGAAGATGATATTATTGGCTCTTCTGCGGGTCAATCCGTTCTTAGGACTGCCGGTCTAAGAGGAAGGAGAGCGAATCAGCCTATGGGAACTTCAGCTGGAACAAGGAACATTGGAAAGAGTCTAAAGCCTCAATTAGGAGAGGAAGAGGAAGATTCGAGTAACATACCATTCATCACAACTAGAAAAAGTGATTTCGCACAATCCGTCACATTGCCAAGCTCTTTAGCCCAGGCATCCATAGGAGATGATCAGCAGATCGATTCAGTCTATAGTCCAGCCTCATTAGCGGCTCTCAAAGCAGCTACACCCAACCGAAGGAAGATTACTGACGAGGACAGTGGAGAAGATGGACACCTTCAAGCTGCACATGAAATCATGCACGATTCAAATGCGAATGAAAGTATGGTCAGACAAAAGTACAGTGCTGATTTTGCACATGAGGGTATTCCAAGTGAAGCAGTGATCAATGCAGCAAAAGAGAAAAGACGCCGAGCCATGGAAGCAACTTCCAATTCAGAAGACTTTATATCTATAAACGAGGATGACGATGGCCCTCATCCAGAGTCTAGAATTGTAAGGGAGGAGGATGAATTAGGATCAGGTGAAGAGGAGTTTGCAGAATTCACTGGGGCTACAGAGAGGATTGCATTGGACGAAGAAGGTATCCAAAGAGAGAAAGCACTAGAGAGAGAAAGACGGAAAGAGGAAATCGAGCAAGACAATGACGAAGAGATGAGTGATGATAGTGGAAAAGAATGGGAAGAAGCACAAATGCAAAGGGAGATGGCAAACATTTCAAGAAGAGAGCGTACGGGAGATCGAGAAAGATCACCTTTTCGACCTGCCCCAATCCCACAAGCTTCAACATTGCCCACGCTTACTTCAACATCTGTTCGATTACAGGAAAAGATTGCAGGCCTACAGGAAGAGATGAAGAACCAAGACGCTCTCCAAGACCATACCAATGCTCAGCTTGCTCAACTCAAATCTGACGAAGAACGCAATAAAGCTGATACAGAGACGGCTGCTGAACGGGAAGCTTGGTTTCGTGAATTTGAAGGTTTTATCGTCAGTATGGCTACATTCTTGGAGGAAAAGGTGCCTAAATTGGAGGATGTTGAAACGGACTGGATAGGACATCTTGTCTTACGTACAAAGATGATTCAACAAGCAAGAGCAGATGCATTGACAGATCAGATATCCTTGTTTTACGGCGTGCCTTCGATTTCTCTTTTACCAAAGCAAGGCCAAGACAGTGATGAAGACGCTCCTCGACCTCCGATTGAAAATGGGGATGCATTGAGTCAGATTCGACAAGCTCGTCGTACATATGCGGAAACTGCTCTAGGCGATGAATTGTCTTCTGCCGATCAAGCAGCATTTCAGATTGCACAACACAATATCATTCGACGGGCAAATGGTTTATTGGATGATGTTCAAGCGGCAGAGTATAGAGAGCCTGCAGCACGAACGATGAAAGAAGATGAAAATGGTCAACATTCCGTCCTTCATCCTGCATCTTTGGTAGCGCGATTTCATAGATGGAGACGAACGTATCCTCAAGATTACTCCAATGCGTGGGGTGGCTTAACTTTGGCTTCGATTTGGGATTTTTGGTTGAGGAAAAGTTTGTGCGGTTGGGATATGCTTAGACTGAAGGATCAGCGCGAGAATAGCTTTGATCAATTCAAGTGGTATGCAGAACTTCTACATTACTCACACAAAGCACAACATCAAATCTCGAAACACGATCAAGATGGAGAAAAGATGGACGAGGATGAAGAAGGCACGCCAGCATTAGGCGGAGATGATGAGAATATTTCACATGCGTTCACCAATACAGTCATCCCAGCGCTTGTTCGTGTGGTGGAAAAGGGTGCATTCGATCCATGGAATCGAATTCACAACACAAGTGCGCTTGAATTGATGGAACAAATGAGTTATGTGATGGAAAAAGATAATGTTCGATTTCAATCTTTGATAACGTCTTTTTTACGTCAATTTCAAATCCATATAAACGCTTTAGTCAATGCTTTGACTCTAGCTCCAGCAATGCAAGCGCCTGCAATGGCTCCTGATGCACCAAATGCGCTCTTTCAATGCGTACAGTATATCTCAACTACCATCACGCAAAACTTGATCGGTTGGCATCGATTCGTTTTGGCTTCTCAGCGTCCTTTCCTACAAGAGTTGGCGAACGAATTGATCGGAAAGGTAATCCTACCTCTGCTCGATATGGCCAAGCATATCGTGGACGGGAAAGATATGGTGCAACAAATCGCACAAGATCTACTTCGTAGAACTGCCCGACCTGCCCTTCTCAACGATGATGTTCGTGGCGAACTGGACAGAATTCAAACTTTGTGATACTTCCATGTATTTTAATCATACACTCAATGTACAATATTCTTCACACACACTTCAGGTTTGTTGATATAGTAATGCTATTTAGACGAAGCTTGCTTGCAAAAGATAGAGAAGATTGAGCAAAAGGAAGGAGAAAAGAGTAGCCAGAAGTGTATATAGGTAGATTAGTCTACATGCAGGTGGTGTGCAATTTAATGCCTTCCGAAATCGATGTTCAAATCCAAGCACATCAAATCAACGTCTGCTTGTGTTTTACCGTTAACGTGAACGTTGAATCGAGCAGGTGGAATTTCCCGTGGTAATTCGACCGTATGGGTGATTTCATATTCACCCTTCTTTTTTGGACATTTAAGTTCTGCATCATTTTCTTCGGCTAATTGACAAACATCAAATCGTCTTGAAAGAAGACGAATGAAACCGAGTTTCACCACAACATCTGCATACGTTCCAGGTTCGATATCTTCATTCACAATTCCTCTTGCGTACACTGTTAGGTTTTGTCCGGGTACGGGTGGATCAGGCTTGACGTTGATTTCCTTAAGGACGACAGCTTCTTGACGTGAACCACAGACTTCCCAAATCCATCCACTGCCAGGTTGCATTTGTGTGTTTGGTAAGGATTCAACAATTTCATTCACATTCTCTTTAACTTCTTCAATTTTAGGTTGAATCCAAACCAATGTATCTTCAGCCATTGATTCTGCCATTAGAGCAGCTTTTGCCATTTCATCGTTCAAATCAACACTTTCTTTGGTTGTTGGTCTTTGTTGTTCATCAAATTGAGATATGTCTATTCCAGTCTTTTTTGCTTCTGATAACATCATATCAACAAAATCAGGTTGACGATCATTGCTTTCGTAACCTCCTTGGTTTCCACCAAAAACTAACTGTTGTGAATCAAAAGGTAATGCGACCGATAATGTTGAAGAGATCAACAAAGGTGCAATAAGCAAAGATCTTGTAAATGTTGAAGTGGCAACCATCTTTGCACAAGAGAGAGAGGGAGAGAGTGATGGTGGATGACAATCAACTCTTTTATCATCCGCTTTTGAATCACACTACCTCAATAAATGCATGCTTGGCTCTCTACATTCATTCAGCCATACGCGTCATCTTGTCAGGCATCAGAACAGTTTATGCAAGCTGACAACAGAGGCGCATGGTATGTATACTGCACCCTACCAGTACCATGTCAAGGAACTCATGCTGCTCAAGAGAAAGGCATCTCTCCAGTATAACAACGTTTCGCTCCACTTTCTCTACTTTTGGGATTTGCGTTACTCCTGAAACAGTACAGTAGCTAGCCTAGGCCTATCTATCTGGAAAAGAGTGATTGATTGAAATTACAGATACTATACAAAATGTGTGTGCTAAAGAAGTGATGATGATGATCAAAGTATCTCAATCCATACTCGTAGGCCCACGGCCACTACTCAAGCTCTTTTGAGAAGAATGTGTTATACTTGTTTGTGAAGATATTCTACGCATAAGAGTAGGTCTAGATGCTAAAGAAGCATGCCAATTCTCAAGTAATGCTCGATCTTCCGTCATGCGATCTTGACTGCTTCGCGGTGTGATTTCCACTCCATTGATTTGTTCTTGATCCATATTTGATTCATCCAATTCCATATCTCCTCCTTCCCATCGTTCTCCATTCGGATCTGAATTAATGATAAATGCAGCCGATTGATCATCTTGATCGTACCTCCGTGAAGCAAATATTCTTTCTTTAGCAGTTTGTCGAGCATATTTCCATTCTTCGCTTGGTCCATTGTATGTGCTGTACATTCCTTCTCCTTGTGCTCCTCGCGGTGTTTCGGTAGCATTTGTTAACTTTTCCGATTTATCAGGTACACGAGCCGAGAATACAACTCGAATCGATTTGTGCAAATAGATTCTAGGTTCCGATTTAGACGTTGATCGACTTCCCGTTCCTTGATCAACATCAATCTTGTCTCCGTTCACATCTCTTTTTGACCGTCTAACTCCTTCAAAGCCTGCTTTACCAGGCTTCACAGGTGCTTGAACGGCACAAAATTGCAGATGGACTGCATAACGTAACGTTTCCTTTGCAGATGCAGGTGCACGATTAGACGTAGTAGCGATGGGAGAACCATTCGGAACAGATTGAAACGTCGCATTTGAATCCAACAAGGGCGTCGTAGGTGAAGCAGCATGACATTTCTGTCGAACAAAAGTTTTTGTTCCAGCAGGCATATCTGTCAAATCATACGGTACCAAAAACACCTTGACAGCAGTCAAGTTAGGATTCTTGATCACAAGTTGGATTTGTCCTTTCGCTGGAACTCTGTAGCCTGGAAAATGAGGCTTCTTGGACTGCTTTGCAGGTCTCGGCAACGTGCGCCTGGCAAACGGAAGTCCTTTGCTAGGAGAGGAAGGGCACATCGCTTGTGATTTCATCATCAATCCATCCATCTTTGCGCTGCTCTCTGCTTCATCTTCACCCAGATCAAGACTTTCCAGACCTGTGTCCAGTAATCGATCCATATAGTAAGTGTCCAGATCAATCGTTCCTACGTATGGACTAGATGGAGATGCTTTGCCTTCTTTGCCTGCCACGCCTTCTAAATTGTAGAAATGAGCAGGGAATTTGAAGTTTATATGCGGTGGACATCTCAACGATGCTTTGCACTTTCCCAGTCCCAGAACTCCTAATTCAGCATCAAAAATGAGCGGTTTAGAGGGTAAAGTAGACATTCTCCCGTTCAACAGAGATTCTTCATACGATCCTACCAGACTACCGAAACTTGACGTTCGCATTCCAGAGTTTGACATACCCACGCCAAGGTTGTGTTCTGAGAATCTTCTTCGTTGGGGAAATATGCTCGAACTGCCTACGGGAGGGGATCGAAAGGGCATATTGGATGCCAAAGGCGATGAACGCCGAAGCGAGCTTGGTGAACCAGGAGAACGCATTGAGCTGAATGGATGATTGAAATGATCTGAGTTTGGCATGTGGGAAAAAGGAGGAGGTGTGTTTTGAAGTGATTTTGACATACGAGGGCTACTGGTTTGACCAGTTGCTAGAGGAGAAGATGTCATTTTGTATTATGTGTTGTCTGTAACTGATATTCTTTCTTATCGAAGCCAAGAAGGTGATTGGATTGATACACTCATCTTTGCAAATTAAGCGGAGTAAATTGGGCGTTTTCGTCTTTTTTTGTGACGAGATTTAGAACATCATCTTTGCCGGGTCTTTGATATGGTAATGATGATCGTATGAATGAAAAGATTCCTTGGCCTATCTCTTGTGTACACTTATTGTTTGTGATCACACCTCCATCACACGAGCAAGGTTACAGTGCAATTTGGGCATCGGGTAAGTGTGTATTTTTCTATTTTTTGTGCATACACGCATGCATGAATGTGGGCATCCATCTTAGGGCGGTAAGCCGCTCTCCTTCATTAGAGGCATATGACTCCTTTTCTTACGTTGGGTACAGCCCTCTCGGTAAGTGATCGGTATCCTTTTAAGCGCGCCTTGCCTAAAACAGCCGTTCGAGACAAGATCTAAAAATGCTTATGTAATCAATTCAATCATCGCCAAATGGTTATGCATATGCCCACGTGTGCAATAGAATCGGCGATAACTTCGATAAGGCTTTTGAGGAGTGATTAAGCGCTAATGATTTTTGACATGCATGCATTCATTTCTGCATTCTATTCGATGTACAGAAACAAAAGGCAGTTCGACCGTACAAATCAAATACGCGCAGATAGACACACTCACACTGTGCAGACGCACACTAAATTACCTCGACCAATGCGTGCGTGAGAGAGGTTTGAATCTACTCACACACACACATACAGAGCACGATTAAAAATCCGACCTTAGAAGATGAACTGAATAGAGTAAAATAGCAAAATCTTCTTTTTTTTTCTCTTCTTGATCGCCATCAGTCGCCCTATTTGTCATCATCATCATCAACTGATACCCCAACATCATGTCTACACAACCACTTCTACAACGTACAGCAGGCAAGAGGATCGCTTTGCCCGTTCGTGTTGAACCAAAAGTCTTTTTTGCAAACGAGCGTACATTTTTATCTTGGCTCAATTTTACAGTTACACTTTCGGCTTTAGCTGCAGGATTGTTAAACTTTGGTGATAATGTTGGTCGTATAAGTGCTGCTATGTTTAGCTTTGTTGGTGAGTAAATCAAAAGGAAACATCGGGAGGATTGCTTGACAGGGTATGCTAACGTGGAGCACTCTTTCTTTCTAGCTATGGCAATCATGGTTTACGCTTTAATCACATACCACTGGCGTGCATCTGCGATTCGCAACAAGGGAAGTGGTCCATACGATGACAGACTTGGTAAGTGTTGGCAACTGCTTAAATCAATTAATTCACTCTTTCTGACATTATCATCTCGATCCTTATTACAGGTCCTACCGTCTTGTCAGTTTTGTTGCTCATCGCTGTGTTGGTCAACTTTATCCTACGATTCCAAGATAATTAAAAGAGAGAGGGGAAATCGAATTACGTCAATTAGGAGAAGAATGTTTATGGTCATTTAATCGAGTTTATGGGCTCCTATGAGCTCCCTTTTTCCTATGATTCTGTATTGTGCATCTTATGCTCTTTGTCCATTCTTTTGTGCAAATTCATACTTTGATTGTATCGTCAGGGTGTAGCACAGGTCTGAACATCTAGAGCTGATGAGTATTGAGGTTATACAGTGTGAGTTTGAGCATGATATCTTGTAAGTCAGGAACGCAGGTGTACACATCCTATGCCTGGCGCGTATTTCACCTTGTGCGTGTGTGTATGCCTGCATGCAAGTGTTAATTTGGGAAATTGAGAAGATTGTTATTTCTTCACACACCACCAGCTCCTTCTCACACATGCATACGTTTCGATGAACATAAGTACGTATAGGTGACAAGAGAATACCTGGATAGAGACATGACATAGCTGACACAATCATCATCTTTCCCTGCATAGACCCGTTCGCCGTTCAGGCACCTGATTCGGTCGAGCATACATTAAGTCATGCAAACGCAACGTGTATCCGATTCAACCACGGCAAAGGTCTATTTGCCGGACACTTTATGGCAATGGGCAGAATGGATGGTTTAGTGATGATATTGAGTACAGAAACAAAAGGAGTTTTGCGAATATTAGAAGGTGGACATGTTAAATCTATCACAAGTGTTGCTTGGTCTCCGTTTAATCGATTTTTGGCAACGGCTTCTTTGGATTGGAATGTGATCGTTTGGGACTTGAAGGATTGCTCGAGAGCTTATACCATTCGATTTGATGCGCCTGTTGCTAGTGTACAGTTTAGCCCGGTGACCAACAAAGTTCTCGTCGTTGTTTTGCAAACACAGCAGGCTTTTCTTATCGACCAGAGAAGGCGGGACAATGTATCGGAAAGCAGCGGCTCATCGACAAAGAGAACAGAACTTGGTGTGGGAAGCGGAGATGCCGGCAGCATATTGTCGGCAACAATTTCACCAGATGGCGAATGTATTGTTTTGGGAACATCTAAAGGTGATCTTCTGATCATTCATCTTGACTCACAACAATTGATTCAACGCGTAAGCAGTGGATCGAGTGGAGTGCGAGAAGTTGCATTGGATAAGTTAGGCAAGACGCTGGTCACCAACTCGAACGATCGAGCGGTCAGATTGTACAGCTTTGCATCTACAAAGTCAGCTGCGAGCATTGAGAATGATAGCATACCAATCCAAGTCAATTGCACTCTGCAACACAAATTTCAAGATTTGATCAATCGGACGCCTTGGTCTGGAATTGGATTTAGCGGAGATGGAGAGTATGTGTTCGGAGGAGCAACACATAAAGCTGCCCATAATATCTACATTTGGGATCGTGGAGCAGGTGTTTTGGATAAGATTTTACAAGGTCCTCGTGACTCGCTGGTGAATGTGGATTGGCATCCCAACAGACCAATGTTGGCTTCTGTTTCACATACGGGCGCTATCAATGTTTGGTTTAATATGCCAACTGAAATTTGGAGTGCATATGCTCCCGGATTTGAAGAATTGGAAGAGAATATCGTTTATGAAGAAAGGGAAGATGAATTCGATTTAGAGGATGAGGAAGAGGTCACCAGACGAAAGAAAGATGAAGAGGAAGCTCATGTGGATATCTTATCGCTTGGTCCACAACAATCTGTTCTTAAGAGGAAGAGGAGGCAACTAGCAAATCGCATGGAAATTGACGGGGAGGAAATAGCAAAAGGAAAGTCTGAAGAGAGCCCTTTTGATGATGATGATGAAGCGTTTGCGATTCCAGTCCGGATTTCACTCGATGTTCCTGATCTTGAGATAGATCAAGATTGATCATTACGATCATTACTGCAATGTATTAACAATTAATAGCATTCAACTTGTATTATAATAAACCTTAATTTAATTAGCGTGTCGAAAAAGTCCGTGCATAAATTGAACACTCTAGCCCTGCGCTGCCCCTCCCCGCGTGGCTTTGGCATGCAGCTTAAGGTAATTTAACTTTGACAGGTGGTCATCGAGAATGTTCGAGATGCTTCACTTGCCACCTTCATCAGATAGGTTCTATCGGGTGATAAAAGTAGCATTGGAGTTGTCCATCATAGCAATATCTCCTCACTACCAACAAGATGACACCTTCTGCTGCAATCGCCCCTTCGTTGGACGTTGTAAACTTCTCTTCAGCTTTAACAACGTCAGCAAGCAGTAATGGACCACAATGGTTAATCAGTGCAGCTTCACGTAATTTTGAATTACCATTACCCGATGGAACAAGTTTATCGATTAGCATCAAAGTTGCCGATTCAACAGGATTACAAAGTAAAGATTATATCACTATAAATGCATGGATGAATCGTAAATTGATCGATGCAAACGGAAGTGAAGATGACGAACATCAATCTGGCTTGCCAATGTCGGGTTTGTTACGCACAGAAGCTTTTCCGTTGGAGATGCATTGTTTACCGCCTAAGCCACGCTATAAGACCTCGCAAGAAGAACCAGATGATAACTCTTTGGCAAGAAGATCAACTCGATTCGCATTTGCTCAATTGGACACCAATAGCATTCAAAACCATTGGACAACACAAGAAAAAGCGGCATTCGTTTGGGTACAATTGTACATCATCATGTCCATGTTACCATCCGAAGAAGCATTCAATATCACCATCAATCATGACCATCTTACTCGTGATTTGATTCAAGCGCTTTTGGATGCTAATTTAGCCATTCCACATCCTATCCCGGGTAAATTGGACGAACCTGCAAAATTGATCACCTATCGTTCAATCTTTTGGCAATCTGCTTTTCCGTTCTCGCATAATCCATGGTTATCGGCAATTGGACATTGGCAAAAATCACCTGTGGATATCGTGCATGACGTACCTGCTCTTTTGAACGATGCAGCAAATGTCTATCATCCACGTAGACCACGCAAGCCAACGGTACGTGATGGTCCTGTATATACGAGACATATCTTGGAACTTGGACAAACATTAACATTTGAACCGATTTCAAGTGAAGATGCGGAATTTGTTAGATTGTTTACAAAATGGCAAAATGATGAACGTGTTGCGATCGGATGGCGTCAAAAAGGTGGAGAAGAAGTTCAAAAGAGATATTTACAAAGTATTGAAGCAAATCCGAGTACGATTGGTTTGGTAGGAAAATGGGATGGAGAACCTTGGGGTTATGTGGAAGTGTATTGGGCCAAGGAGAGTAATATCGGTCGATTCTACAATGCAGAAGATTATGATCGTGGTTTTCATGCTTTGGTGGGTGAACAACGTTTTCGTGGTCCACATCGGGTACGTAGTTGGATGGGAAGTTTGATTCATATGTTATTCGTTCAAGATGCAAGAACACAAAGGGTTGTTTTGGAACCAAGAGCAACGAATGCGGTTATGATAAATTATGCAACGATGTGTGGTGGACATGTAGAAAAGTTGATCGATTTACCACATAAACGTGCAGCTTTGGTCATTTGTCCAAGAGAAGGTTTCTTTCAATTATGCCCTTTGGGACCTTTGACGACTATCAATACGGCTTATCCACGTCATTATCAAAAACAATCATCCGAAACGCAAACGCAAAAGAAGCCAGAAGAAGGCGTAAAGAAAGCGTAAAGAGAGTGAAGACATCAAATTGGGTTCTTCATCACGGTCGTGTGTTCTGTTTCATCCGCAATCGCATCCTATCAAACCCCTTTCAAGAAATGTCGTATAACAATCCTAATTATGTAAACAAAATGATTACCCAATACTAATGACTAACGCAGATTGTGTTCACCGTTGTGATTGTGTCTAAGATCAAATGAGATTATCGGGACCGCGTTTGTGGCTTTTATCCTTTTGTAGTGATTCAACGATATTCGGAAGCCAAGCATCCGTTGACGACAATCGCACTTTCAAATGTGATATTATGCTACAGACGGCCCGAAATTGAAAGATGAGGTGATGCTAATGAAACATGATAAAAGACATAAATAGCGCCATCATGATCACTACCCCCGTCTTTCCTGCAAGATATTTATCCAATACAACAAAGACACACAAAGGTTAGCAGAACTGCATCTCATTCCACTGCATTCAATTAGACTGACAAATTGATTCTGCAGCCCTCATACATATAGACACTTACGATGCAATTGACAAATTTCAGCTTAATGCTTTTGGTTTTGACCATGACATTCTCTGTCAATTTTGTTCAAGGCGCAAACAATAACCCACGTTTTCCGCCACATAATCAAATGGGCATTCGTGTAAAAGGTCCTGGTGTCAACAAACACATTTTACCCAAGCATGGTGGTGGTCATATCGAACTCTGAATAGTGTTGCAAAGGCATGCCAATAGCGGCCCAATTATGGAGAGCAAGATCACATGAACAGTCTGTTAAGCTTTGATCAGTAGTCATTTGCTTTTCGAAACATCATCTTCAAATCTCCTCTTCTAAACACCTGCAATACAACCAATTTCATGTTCATTCTAATATTAGTTCTGTTTGACATTTGATAAATTAGAATCTATCTTCAAATTCTTAACTTTCCAGTATGGTGTAGTGAGTTCATGCAATTCAATTCAGCATTCCAGAAGGATTGATTTTTGTTTGTTGGCATATTGCCAGCAATTGATCCGCTTTTTCATAGTCTTGCGGATCATCTGTTCATATCAAATCATGGCTAAACTCTCTGGAGCGGCAATCATGATATACGAAACTCAAAAAGATGCCGGATGAGGAGAAGCCACTGATGTTATTCGTTAATAAGATCAAACAATGGCGATCGACAAAAAAAGGTGTGGAAGTCCGCCTTTATTGCACCATACAAAAAAAGGGTTCCCTTTGAGTTTATTCTGGCGACGCAAATCGCCGTATCCCTAAATAAATCCTTCTTCAAGTGAACGTTCTGTTTTGTCGAGCCGAGACGGAGTTTGCGTAAAAGGATGAAAAGAAAGAACAAAGGGTCGCCAAGACGACAACAGTATGAGAGTGATGCCGTTAACGAATGGGTAAAAGAAGAAGAAGAAATTTTGATTAAATCGGAAAACGTCGCGGTACCGACAAAACTTCTTGTTGTTAATTGGAATTTTGTAAAAAGACTGAATTGTATGCCACAACGGTCTCCGTTGAAATCAAATTGTCTTTTTTTCGGTGCTCCGTCGTTCAAGGCGTAAATCACAAAAGACGAGAAGAGGGTGCCGTCTCTTCTTTCGAACAATTTCACCGCATACGATGTGATTTATATGACCAATCATACATACGTACGATCGTTTTAATAATTTATTCCTGAAGCGGAGTTTGTGCAAATTATTGAAGAAGGAAAACCTTCTGGTATATTGCCGCCTTTGCGTTTTTTTCTGGAATGATCTGATGACCTTCTTCCTGTCTGTGTGTGTGTCAAATGTCAATCATCACAAATGAAAAAGGGATTTTGTACTGGCAATTGCGCCACAATCCCTCAAGAGACCGAATGATATAAGAAAGGCAAGTGATTTGCTTTTCTCTCCTCATCCAAACCATCATCATCCTCACTTTTGTCCTTTTACCCCAATAATCCCTTTTCCATTTTCCGTCCAAACAAACACATTCATTCATTCAATCTTTTTCTCTCTCTCTCTTTCAAAGTGATCAAAGATGCGTTCAAGCTCTTATTTAGCCTTTGTGGCTTTGGCTATGGCCTGCACTGTGAACGCAGATGGCGGTATTGCCGTGGCACCAGTGGTTGGCAAAGTTGAAGGTGTTGCCGGTCAAACAGTTCAAGGTGTTGGCAACAGCATCAAGCGAAGAGAAGATTTCTTACCTGATCAATTACAAAGACGTGCTTTGCCTGGTATCAATCTCAACGGGATCACAAAACCAGTTGCAAAATCATTGGGTGGAGTAAAAAACATGGTTCCAATTATCAAACGTGAAGAAGCAGAAGATCTTTCGCCAAAGTTCTTCAAACGTCACGGTAACAATCTTCGCAAGAGATTCTCAAAGCGATTGCTCAATGTTGGTGAAGTTTTGAGTGGTGTCACAGGATCAGGATCAAACGATGCTAGTAGTGATTACTCACAGCCTGCTGATGATTATGGTACACCACCTGCTCCAGCTCAAGCTCAAACTGGTACAGGTGGTGATACTGCAACTGGTGATGACTACAATGATCAAGGTCAAACTGGTACTACTGGTACTTCAAGCATCCCAGTAGTTCCAGCCATGCCAGCAATTGGTACGAGCGGAGATCAAGGTGGCGATTACAGTAGCAATCAAGGTGACAGTTCTGTCTCAAGCTTACCAATTGTGCCAAGCGTTTTAGGTGGTGGTGATGATCAATCTGGAAGCGGTACTTCTGGTTTACCCGTCGTCTCATCACTTGTTCCCGGTTTGACTGGTGCTGGTCAAGGTGGCGACTATTCTGGTCAACCTGCAAACGGCAATTCAGGCGGTGATGACTACACCACTCCACCTGCAACTGGAACTCAAGGTGATGGCACTCAAGGTGGTAGCACTGATTACACTCCTCCCGCTCCAACAAGCACAGATGGAACTCAATCTGTTGACGCTGGTGTTACGACTCCTCAACCTGCTTCATCAACTTCTGGTGATGCAACTCAAGCTGTTCCTGCAGTAAATACCACAAATGAAGTTCCGGCTGTAACAGGTGAAACTGCTCCGGTCACAGGCGGCGCAGGAAATGGAGATGATACATCTGCCGATTATACAACTCCAACTGGTACAAACTCAACAACTGATGGTACAACAGAAGCACCAGCGACAACTAACAACGATAGCACAAGTGGTACTACCCCAATTGGTGATGCAACTCAACCTACTGATCAATCCACTGATTCATCTGTTTCAAGTGACGCAACTCAACCTGCCGCAACATCTACAGATGGTACCACTTCAACAGATGACACGACGTCAACCGGTGGCGATGCTGCAACAACTCCTACAACAGATGACACAACGTCAACTGGTGGTGATGCTGCAGCGACCCCTACTACGGATGATACAACATCCACTGGTGGTGATGCTGCAACAACTCCAACAACAGATGACACAACTTCAACTGGCGGTGATGCTGCAACAACCCCTACGACAGATGACACAACGTCAACCGGTGGTGATGCTGCAACAACTCCAACAACAGATGACACAACGTCAACCGGTGGTGATGCTGCAACAACCCCTACTACGGATGACACAACTTCAACTGGTGGTGATGCTGCAACGACTCCTACAACAGATGACACAACTTCAACTGGCGGTGATGCTGCAACGACACCTACTACGGATGACACAACTTCAACTGGCGGTGATGCTGCAACGACACCTACTAC